AGTGATGGCAGGAGAGGAGGGTCCCCTGCCCAGGCCTGACTCCTCTGGTAGAGGCGTCAGGCCTGGGCAAGGGGCCGATCCTGTGATCGGAGGGTGATGGGGGTCAACACCCGAAGGCTACCAGTATGTGAGAGGGGGCAGGCTGGGCTGAGGGACACTCCCCCTCCCCCCCCAGTGCACGAATTTCGTGCACCGGGCCCCTAGTATATAAAATAAATATCAAAAATAGAAGTCTTTGTTTTATTATGGTTGCAAAGATCAAAAAATTTCTATATGTGACACAGCACCAGAGTAAAGTTAGGATTTTTCAAAATGCTGACTCGCCGAGCTCAAAAGGTTCGCCATCACTGCCCTAGACACTCATGTGACACGGCACCTGAAGTCCCCGGGTGGTCAGTGCTGTTCACCCTCCTCTGAACAGAAGGGAAGGCGTGAGCTCTCGCCATAGGAGGGGTGGGAGAGGCCTTAATCATTATGTGCCTAGACCAGGGCTGCCATGCTGCTGCCCAGAGGCCTTTGGGGCTCCTTAATAGGGGGGGCAGGGGTGGGGGGCAGAGCGCGGCTCTGTCAATGATGAGGGCTGCAACGGGCCCCCTGCCGTGAAGACAGGTGCCTCTGAGCTGGGCCATGCTCGTCTTCAGGCGCTTCAGCGACTCGCTTAGGGGTGTCTCTTGTCTCCCTACCCAAGGGGCCCTCAGCCCGAGGTGTTCTCACCCAGTGGGGCGGGAGCCGACATTTGCAGCACCTTGTCTTACACCTGGGGTGACTGACACCTGAGAGAGTTGGCGATGGCTTTCCTTCTGGAATTTGAACAGAGGCGACGTTAAAGGTTGGTAGACCAGCCAGAGAGTTCTTGATTGTCATTTTCATGACGTTTTTTGCTCTCAGGTAGTTGCTTGATTTTTTTGTTTTCAGTAGTCAAGAGAGTTAGAGTCATGGTCTTTAGAGAGTCACCCCTGCTGCCTGGTGGCAGGGCCCTGCCCTGCTGTGTAGGAGCAGGAGCCGGCCGTCAGCTCACAGCTTCCTGGTTTATTGGGAAACATGTAGCAGAGTGTTTTCCAAACGTGGAACCGATAGGGTGTGTGTAGCTGGGCCAAGGTCGTGGAATTCAGGTGCTAGAAGGCTTTGCAATCAGGTTTTGAAACTCAAAAATTCCTCTCATTACTTTTTAAAAAGGCCAGGTCCCGAGCACAGGCCGGCGGGCCTTCCCACTAACGGTGGAGGCCACTGGCTCCGGCCCTCGCCAGCCCGGACCCTGCGCTCGCTGCTGGCCGGCCACTCGGACCAGCTGGGATGGCAGGGGTCCTAGGAGCGGTGAGAGCCACGGGTGAAGGGCGCCCAGGAGGCGGGGCCGGGCAGCCGCCTGCACCTTGAGCCCAGGTCAGATTGGCCTCAGGTTTGCCTCCCGGGTGCTTCTGGGAGCTTCCTCTCCGCCCGGGGCCACGTCTTCTCAGCACTGAACGCCTGCGTTTACCTTCCCACTAGGCCAGTGACGGCGAACCCTTTGAGCTCGGTGTGCCAGCATTTTGAAAAACCCTAATTTAACTCTGGTGCCGGGTCACATATAGAAATGTTTTGATATTTGCAAACATAGTAAAACAAAGATTTATATTTTTGATATTTATTTTATATATTTAAATGCCATTTAACAAAAATCAAACAAAAAAATGAGCCCGCGTGTCACCTCTGACATGCGCATCATAGGTTCGCCATCACTGCACTAAGGTATACATGACAGATTCCTGATGCAGGTGCACTGGGTGTCAGTGGCCAGAGGGCGCGCTCACCCTGCTGGGCACTGGGAGACGGGTGAGTGGTGCCACCGTCATGGTGAGCTGAGGGGCTGCTCCTGCCTCTCGGCTGTTTTGTGAGGACACCACCAACCCACCTTCCCTTTGGCAAAGCCGAGTCCTGTGTCTGCAGGTGAGGGCGGCTCCTTGGTCGCTGCCCCCTGCGTCCGGCCGTCCCGCTGTCCTCTGGGCTGCTGCACCTCCTCCTGGAGCGCCTCCTCCAGTCCCTTCTGTTTCCAGTGGTTTCTGATGCAGAGGTTCCCTAGAGGTTCCTTTTAGGGAAACGGGTGCAGCGTCACTGGGACCCTGTAGCTCCTCACTTGATAGGTGTTTGAAGAGAAAGTGAAAGCTGGCCGTCAGCGCATCCCACGAGAGGCCCAGTCCGCGCCGTTGGCGTCTCGGACGGTGTGAAGCAGCCGGCCCTGGGTGCGGCCCCCAGGCCGTCCGCACTCACTCCACCTCCCGGGCCCGTCCCCCGCAGGTCGTCCTGATGTCGGCCACCATCGACTGCAGGGAGTTTGCGGACTACTTTGCGGCTCCGGTGCGGAACAGGATGAGCCCTGCCTACGTGTTCGAGGTGGCCGGGCAGCCCCACGCCATCGAGGAGTTCTATCTGGGCGACCTGGAGCACGTGCCGCCCAGCAGGGTACGTGGGCGCTGGCCCACGGCGGGGTCCTCTCCGGGGAGTGGAGGAAGGTCAGGCAGAGCATAACGTCGCCTCGTTGGGGGGCTGCGCGGGGGTGAGGCAGTCACCAGGACCTGGCTCCGCCCGCCTGAGTGCACAGCTCGCTGTGGTCTGGTGACCGTGACTCCCGACCTGGGTCACGTTACCTGCAGTGACCTGACGGTGCGTGAGTGGGCAGGTGGACCGGGGGTTCCCTGGCCCTGGGACTTGTGGTTTTTTTTTTTTTTTTAAAATATATTTTATTGATTTTTTACAGAGAGGAAAGGAGAGAGATAGAGAGTTAGAAACATCGATGAGAGAGAAACATCGATCAGCTGCCTCCTGCACATTCCCCACTGGGGAAGTGCGCGCAACCCAGGTACATGCCCTTGACCGGAATCGACCCCGGGACCTTTCAGTCCGCAGGCCGACGCTCTATCCACTGAGCCAAACCGGTTTCGGCGGGACTTGTGGTTTTAATGCGAGGTTATCATGTTGGGGCTCCTGGCGGTGACCAGGCAACTCTGGGGTCACAACTCCTGGCCCCATAGACGTTTGGAGCCACTGATTCTGTCTTCAAAGTCGGTTCCCTGCCGGACACGTGGCTGCGGCGCCTGGACTCTGCCCACCTTGACCTTGCTCTTGGGCAGGGCGGGTGCTCGGTGAGGCTCGGTGAGGCTCGGTGCTCAGACGCTGGCTGCAAACGCATGCCTCGCCTCTGGGGTCTTTGTCACAGTGCCGCCCTGAAGGGGGAGCCACAGTCCAGCCTGATGCCCTCTGACCCCCTCGGTTTCCTCCTGCTTCCAGCTCTCCCCCCACGTCCTGGAGGAGCCGGTGATAACGAAGGACATGTACGAGGTCGCCGTCTCCCTGATTCAGATGTTTGACGACATGGACATGAAGGAGAGCGGGTAGGAGGCCTCGGCTGCAGCAGCCGTGGTGCCGCGCAGGGGCTCCAGGCGGTCGCTCGTCTGGAAGCTTTTTTTATGTTAAGGTTTAATGTAGAGACTTTTTCAGTAGTCACTCTACATAGTCAGAAATGAGGTTAGTACGTATCTTGTGAAGTTTTCCCCTGAAGTTAGAACCATGCCACGTATGGCTTCCGGACAGGCCGTCTGAAAGTTAGGACCACAGCCCCGACGTGCTGTCCACGCAGCCCGAGGACAGCACAGCTGCCTCGCCATTCTCCCATCTCCGAGGTGCTCCCGCGCCGAGTCTGCTGTGCTCCCACGTCCACTCGCTGGGATCTGGACACGTCTCCCCGAGGGACAGCCCGAGGCTCTAGTGGTGCTCGGAGGGTGTTGTTTTGACAGCAGGCGCTGCCTCCGGGACCTTCGCTGCTTGCACCGCTGAGCTCACGCACGCACACACGCACACACACACGGTGTGCGTTGGAGCAGCATGCAGGGAGCGTGCGCTCTCCCCGCCTGGCTGGGGCACTGTCCCTGTGGGCCTGCGAGACCCCCCACCCCCCGCGTGTCTCTTCTTGCCTTCCCCAGCTGTGAAAGGGAGACAGTCTGGCGGGTGCAGTCACTGCCCTGCGTCCCTCCTGGCAGCCGCCTGCCAGGCCCTGCAGCTGAGTGCCAGTTTAGCTCTGTTTGTAACTCCACAAGTTTCATTATTCTTTCTACCGTTGTGCTTGGATTTGCCCAATGGGTGTCATTTTATTTACTCATTAGAGGCGCGATGCACGAAGATTTGTGCAAGAATAGGCCTTCCTTCCCCTGGCTGCCGGCACCAGCTTCCCTCAGGCACCAGGGCCTGAGCCTTTGCTCTGGCTGCCGCCTTCCACCTTCGCTCCGGCCCTGTCGCCCTCCTGTACTCCTGTAGCTTCCTCCACTCCCCTGACCCCCTCCTCCCCTCCTGCCGCATAGCAAGCATCTAACCCAGCCCTGGCCGCTCTGCGTCTGCCCTGCACATGCTTGCGCTGCCCAGAGGCCCAGAGCTGCCAGAGAGTAACGCCTGTGTCGTCACCATGGTGATGATGCAAGCATCCCGGTCTGGCTGCTGCCATCTTTGTTGCATCAATTTGCACATTCCCTCCTTATTGGCTGTGGGCGCCGCCATCTTTGTCGTGGTGTGATGGTTAATTTGCATGTTCTGCCTTTATTAGATAGGATCTTTTTCTCCTGCACCCTAGTCTCCTCTTAGGTCATTTTCATTCTTCCTAAAGAAGGTCCTTGGGAGCCCTGGCTGGTAGCTCAGTTGGTTGAAGTGTTGTTCTGCCACACAGAGGTTTCAGGCCTCACCCCTGGTCAGGGCACACACAAGAATCAACAAATGCCCGGCCAGCGGGGCTCAGTGGTTGAGCGTTGACCTATGAACCAGGAGGTCATGGTTTGATTCCTGGTCAGGGCACATGCCCAGGTTGTGGGCTTGATCCCCAATAAAGGGCGTGCAGGAGGCAGCCAATCAAGGATTCTCTCTCATCATTGATGTTTCTCTCCCTCTCCCTCCCTCTCTGAAGTCAATAAATATTTATTATGGAAAAATATCCTTGGTGAGGATTAATAACAACAACAAAAGGGTATTTATAAAGGCAAGGGTTCTTTCCCTTCCTTTCTCTAAAATCATTAAATATATATTTTTTAAATGTCTGTTGGTAGCCCTGGCTGGGCAGCTTAGTTTTTATTTAGCTAAGACTGTGTTTCATTCTTGGAATAGTTTTGTTAGGTGTAAAAGTGAGGTTGCTATGTAACCCTCTCCATACTCCTGCTTTTCCTGAATTGTTAGCTATGTCGAGCAGTAACCTGCGTACATCCAGTGCACTCGTTTTCCTCGTTCTTCCTGGGCTGGGGTGGCCTTTTCTTGTCATCACCTTGTGACGTGAGAGTCGCCTTTGGTCTGCCTGCTCCTGAGGGAAGCCTGCGTTCTGGTCGGGCTGACGTGCAGTCGTGGTGCCTCTGGGGCAGCGCAGGCTGGAGCTGTGGTCCCTCCCCGCCGCCTCCTGCCCCTTGGACTCCCGGAATCGGAGCGCGGGCATTGCTGCCGGCAGCCTTTCCCCTGGTGGCCGCCGCGTGCCCACTGTGCGGGTTTGTCACTCGCTCTGACTCCTCCCTGAGGTCACTCTGTGAAGAGAAGCTTCCCTCTTACCCCCGCCCTTCTCCCCGCCTCCCCCCTCTCTCTCAGTGTCACAATGGACTCATGGACCCCTTTCAATAGACTTCATTTCCAGAGCAGTTTTAGGTTCACAGTAAATTGGAACTGAAAGCACCAAAGGGGGTCTTCATGCGACCCCCTTTGCCAGCATCTCACATGGAGGCCGTCGCCCACGCCCGGGGTCACACTCAGGTGCTCTGGGTGGCGTGTGTCTTGTGGGTGTGACAAGTGTGTAATGACACGTCGCCACTGTGGTGTTGACAGTCGTTTCACTGCCTGGAAAACCCTGGGCTCTGCCTGCTCGCCCCCGCTCCATAACCCCTGGCAACCACAGCCTATTTTATTTTATTTATTTTGTCCTTGAGGACGTGCTTATTGATTTTAGAGAGAGGAGAAGGGAGAAAGAGAGAGAGGAATATTGATGTGAGAGAGACATCAATCTGTTGCTTTCCCATGTGGGGGGGCCTGAAACCCAGGTATGTACCCTGACCCGGCACGGGAACCCACAGCCTTCCAGTCAACGGATGATGACCCGTCAGCTGAGCCGCACTGGCAGGGCCCGTTGAACACCTGTTGGCACCACAGTCTTGCCTTTTCCAGAATGTCATGTCATCGGAATCCTAGAGCATGTGGCCGCTTCAGACGCTGCTTTCACGTGGCGTGTGCCCCTCAGGTTCCTCCACGCCTTCCCTGGCTGGGGCGGCTCCGTCTGTTGATGCTGAGTGATAGGCACGGCCTGCTGGGCCTATGAGGACATCCGGTGGCTCCAGGTTTGGGTCCTTGTGACTAAAGCTGCTGTCAGCTCGGACCTGAGTTTTCAGCTCTTGGGGTCAGTGCCCAGGAACATGTCTCCGAGGCTGCGGCGAGAGTGTGTGCAGTTGTGTCGGACCCGGCAGACGCTCCCAGGGGCCGCCTCATTGGCGTTCCCACCGGCAGTGAGCGAGGTCCCGTCCCGTCCCGTCCCGCTGCTCCGCCCCCTCAGCCCCTGGCGGTGCCGTCCTGTCAGTGTGCAGCGGGTCGCGTGGCTCCAGTTTACCATCCTGACGACGTGGCCGGAGCATCTTTTCACGTTTACTTGTCACCTGTCCATCTTCGGTGAGGAGGTGTCTGTTCGGGTCTCGCCCATGTCTCATGTTGCTTGTTCCTCACGTTGAGCCGGAAGAGTGTGTCTGTTTGGATACCAGCTCTAGACGTCTTCTGCGAAGGTTTCGCTCAGTCTGTGCCTTGTCTTCTCTTCCTCTTGAGACTCGGGTTTATTTAAATATCAGAGTTAATCACAGTCAGTTTTCTTTTCGGATGATCAGCTGTCCACAGCTGGCTGCGTGTCGTTGGGCACGGGGCATTTCCTTGCTTTTGGCACCGGCTGGTCTTCCTCTGCCGCAGATCGGGCATCGGTGCTGTTGGTCTTTTCAAAGACCCAGGCCTGGCACGGAGGGGCTGCCAGGTCTGCAGGGCAGGGTTCTCACTGCACACACCGTCACAGTGACAGGAGCTGGGTGGGGGCGGCGAGGGGATGGTTTGGGATCTTGTCCTGTAAAAGGGCTTCCTAATGACAGACAGTTTGGACTCCTTAGAGTTTATCTTAAAGATATTCTCACTGATTTTAGAGTGAGAAAGGGAGGAAGAGGAAGAGAGAGAGAGAAACATTGATGTTGTTGGTCCACATCTTTGTGCACTCATTGGTTGACTCTTGTATGTGCCCTGTCTGGGGATCGAATTGGTAACTTTGGCGCATCGGAATGACACTCTAACCAACTGAGCGGCCCGGCCAGGGCATGGAGTTCATTTCCAGTGTTTGGATTTGAGGGTGGATTAAGTTCCCAGGAAAACCTTGACAGACAGTTTTCATAGGAAAAGTGATGAGAGCCTGGGGCCTGGGACTCCTCCTCGGCCCCTGCCTTTCCTCGTGCGGAGAAGGTTACACGCGTGGTTGGGCAAGGCTGTCGGCATCGGGCGCTGCAGCTGGGGAGGGTTTGGGAACGGCACGGCTGTCCTCGCGTGGTTAACGTGCGCACCTCACGTTTTTAACAGGAACAAGGCCTGGGCGGGCGCCCAGCTCGCGTGGGAGCGGGGCAGTGTGCTGGTGTTTCTGCCAGGTGAGTGCCAGCCTTCGGGCCGCGATGGCAGCGCCAGGAGAGGGGTCCTCTCTGTCTCTCTCCTTCTTAAACATGTTTTAAAAAAAATAGATTTGAGAGAGAGGAAGGGAGAAGGAGAGAGAGACAGAAACAGCAAGGATGAGAGGATCATTGATTGACTGCCTCCTGCACGCCCCCCACGGGGGTCGAGCCCACAACCCAGGCAGTGCCCCGACTGGGAATGGAACCCTGACCTCCTTGTCCATGGGTGGATGCTCAGTCGCAGAGCCGCACTGACCGGGCCTTCTTCACTATTTTAATATTAATATTGTAGAGTAATAACATTTATTACTTTTTAACCACTATTTTGTGGCTGTAAAATTTTTCATGCTTGTTGTAGAAAATTAGGGAATGAGTGGGGGGGAGAAGAGTAGCTGCCTCGCGCACAGCTGTCCGGCAGCACTGCTGGGGCTCCCGGGGGCGGGGGAGGTTTTGGGGGGGAGAAGAGTAGCTGCCTCGCGCACAGCTGTCCGGCAGCACTGCTGGGGCTCCCGGGGGGCGTGGGAGGCTGGGGGTCCAGGTGTTCCCACCTGTGTTTCCAGCATCTGGACTCGGTGCTGCTGTGCGTTCGCGCTGTTGCTCTTACCGGCGAGGTGGGGGGTAACAAGGAGATACAGTGAATGGGGAGGCCTCTTGGAAAGAGACATGCTCTTCACCTGAGGACGCTTTCCAGCACTAAACACCCCTCTTTCTTGCCCCCCTTTGCCCCCCAGGCCTGAGTGAAATAAACTACATGCACGAGCTCCTCACAAACATGATCCAGAAAAGGTGTGTGAGCGACACCCAGTCCTCCTCAGCATGTGCTGGCTTCAGCCTGAAGCGATGAGCCGAGCGCAGTGAGCGCAGCCCCTGGTGCGAGCCCTGTCCCCGTGCTCATGGCCGTGTCCCTCCCCCCAGGCTGCAGGTCTACCCCCTGCACTCGAGCGTGACTCTGGAGGAGCAGAACAACGTGTTCCTGAGCCCAGTGCCCGGCTACAGAAAGGTGGGCGTGGGGCCCGAGGGTACTGCAGCCCCTGCGCTGGGCCGTCGGGGCTGAGGCGACTCAGCCACAGACTGGCGCGAGCCTGGTGAGCCGGCCAGCGCGTCTTGTCTTTGGCTTCTGGTCCGTTTGCCAGGGTTTCATTTCCTCGGTCACGTCTCAGAGCGCGGACCGTCCGGTGTCCCTGGCACTGCTCAGGTGACGTTGGTGAGCGCCTCCTGGTTCCTTTCCTCTCAGCCTGTGCCTGAGTGAGGGCGGTCCCATCGCGGCCCAGCAGAGCTGCTGCAGTGGGTGGGGCCTGGCTCCAGTCGGAGCCTCCAGGGTAGTGGGACCTCGCTGGCACCCAGGGCCACTGCTTGCAGCCCTTCCATGTGTCTGGTTCCCCCTGGGCACGGCCTGGCCCCTGGTAGTGACCCCCTGGAGGAGGAGGTGCCACGCTGAGGCGAAGGGTTTGGAAGGTGGGCCTGGGCAGGTGACGTGGGTCTCACCTGCAGCTGTGTGATGAGCAAACCACTGCTCTCAGCCTGTGTGGTATGTTTGAACCCGAGTCAGTCACATCGAGGCAGAGCTGTCAGGAAGGCCAATTAGGGTGACAGGTGCCCGCTTACAGGGGGTGCCTCCAACGCGCAGGCGGGTGTCCCGCAGAGGGCGCCGCACGGTGACGCGGCTGCTCCCTGACCCGGCTCCCGCCTGCCTGAGCTTCACGCGCCAGCTCGCAGGGGCTTCCCCGCAGCGTGAGTGGGTGGAGCCATCATCTCCGCTCATTCATGAGAACACCAGGCCGTGCCGCCCGAGTCCCACGCTGTGGAGCGGAGCTGGGGTCCAAGGCAGGGTCAGCTGTTGAGGCCGCACGACACTGACTCCTCCCCAGCCCAGGACCCTTGGTCAAGTGCGACGGGGATACAAGAGGAACATGAGGCCTTTCAGAGACCTGAGCCCAGTGTTTGCGAAGCTTGTCAGTGCTGTTTGAGTGTGTGAGCCTGGCTGATTTCCTGGTCGGTAAGCACGCGGTCCTTCCTTGCTGTTTGATAGATCATTCTGTCCACCAACATTGCGGAGAGCTCGGTCACCGTGCCGGACGTCAAGTACGGTAAGACCTGCGTCCGCACCGAGGGGCTGCGGGAGGCCTCTGAGGAGGGCGTGGGAGCAGGACTTGAGCTGCCAGGGAGCGACTGTGGGAAGATGGGGTTCTGGCCCAGGATGGCCCCAGGAGCAGGAAGGCGTGTGGCCAGGACAGGGTGGGTTGTGTTTGTGGGGGGGCGGGGGGTGTGTGGGAGCTGGGGAAGAGCAGAAAACAAGTCTTTGTTCTCATGAGACCTTGAGGGAGAAGGAGGGGACAGGACGCCGGCTGACAGCACTCCTGGCACGTGGCGTGGTGTAGAGGGAGCCGAGGGGCCAAGGAGATGAGAGCTCACGCCCTGCCAGGAGGCCCCGGGCAGCTTCGCTGAGTGACAAGGTCGAGAGAGAGGGTGTACCCCTGGCCTTGGGCAGGTGCCTCGAGGAGCTCTGGCGGCCTCCGCATCCTCGGGGCCCAGAGGCCCGGCCTCAGTGAGAGTGAGGAAGGAGAGGGCGCCAGTGGCTTGAGGGCAGCCATCGAACAAGATGGAGTGTACGGGGGTCTCTGTGGGCCCCGCGCAGCTGGTGACCAGGAGGTGAAGGGACCGGCAGCCTGCTGGCCTCTGGCCACTTGGTCCGAATGTGGGGACAGCTGTCACTGAGCAGGGCTGGGCCTGGGCAGAGGGGTAGAGCGCAGGCCAAGGGCGCAGGCGCTCGAGGGCGGGAGGGCAGACTGCGCTTTGGGCAGAAGGAGTGAGGCCCTAAAGGGATGGGGGTGGGGAGCAGGTCCTCACGGGACAGATGGGTTGAGAGCAACCTGTGTTGAGTGGAGGGAAGGAGGAAGAGGAGTAGTGGGGGCTGGCTGGGAGGACAGGGCCAGGCCCCAGGCTCAGTGCCTGCCTCGGAGACGCCCTTCTGTAGCGGACAGGAGGGTCTGCCCAAGGAGTGGCAGGGGCTCTGTCACCTGGGCCACGGGCGAGGACACTGCGCAGAGAGGCCGGGCAGCTCCCTGCCCCCAGCTGGGCTCCTCCGGTGCCAGGTGGGCTGCAGGGGCCTGTCCTTCCTGCCCCACGAACCGGTCCTTGGAGGCAGGGTCGGCAGTCCCCCTCACTGCCTCGTGCTCACACTCCTCTCTTTACGTGGCAGTTATAGACTTCTGTTTGACTAGAACTCTGGTTTGTGACGAAGACACGAATTATCAGAGTCTGCGCCTGAGCTGGGCTTCTAAGACCAGCTGTAACCAGAGGAAAGGTAAGCTTGGCCGCACGCCCTCCGACCCCTCAGACCTGCGCTTCTGCGCGCACTCGGGCCTCCCTCCTTCCCGGGGCCAGCTCTCAGGCTCTGGCCGAACCTGCGACCCTCTGGTCCAGTCACTTTGGTGACAGGCTGTGCGCACTGACGGGCAGGTCCGTCCCGCCACCGCTGTCATTGCGCAGAGAATCCGTGAACTTCCGGGAGGAGCTGGAGCCAGGGGCTCGCTTTGTCAGCTATTGGCGACCCTTCCTCCGACTCCTGATCTTTCTGCACTTCCTTCCTGAG